TTTAGTTCCATTGTGACGTTGCCTGTGTGTTTTCTAATGCGTGTTGTGTCTTCTCCCTCTTTTCTTTTGTTAGGTTTGCCAGTGGTTTGTCAATTTTGTTAATCCTTTCAAAGAACCAGTTTCTCGTCCTGTTGATTTTTTCTATAGTTTTTCTGTTTTCTATTGCATTCATTTCTGCTATGATTTTTATTTCTTTTCTTTTGGTGGCTGTGGGTTCCCTCTGTTAGTTTCTAATTGTTGGAGATGCTGTGTTAATGTGTTAATTTTGGTTCTTTCTTATTTTTGGATATGTGCATTTACTGCAATAAATTATCCTTTCAGCACTGCTTCCGCTGTGTCCCAAAGATTTTGGTATGTTGTGTTTTCGTTCTTATTTCTAGGAACTTTGTGAGTTCATGTTTTATTTCTTCTACTATCCAGTTGCTTTTCAGCAGGGTAGCATTCAGTTTCCATGTATTTGATTTTATTTCTTGATCTTCCTATTGTTGATTTCTAATTTGATAGCATTGTGGTCTGATAAGATACTTTGTAATATTTTGATATTTGTAAATGTATGGAGGTTTGTTTTATAGCCTAACTCATGGTCTATTCTGGAGAATGTTCCATGTGCACTGGAAAAGAATGTGTATTGTGCTGTTGTTGGGTTGAATGCTCTGTACACATCTATGAGGTCCAGTTGGCTGATTGTGTTGTTTAGTTCCTCTGTGTCTTTGCCAAGTTTCTTTCTGGTCATCTGTTTTTGCTTCTTGGACATGTTTAGTGTTTAGCTGTGGCCTTAATACTTAATTGTGTGTTTTGGCATTTTTTATGCTTTCTGATTGCCTCCAGCTAAATGTGATCAGTAGGTGGGCTTCCCTTTACACTCTTCTTATTACTTAACTCAGAGTAACTTTCACAGGTGTTGTCTGCCTCCCTGGTGTATGGCAGTTGGCATTGGTTCTTGCTTTGATTGTGGGGTTTTTATAGGGTGTGATTGTAGCTTGACTATATGGCAGCAATTGCTGTCTCTTCTTGGGTAATACAGGGAGAGAAAGAGCCACCCCAAAGGTAAAAGGGGGAACAAAAAACAACAAAATAGCAACAGCAAAAAAAGAAAAAAACCCCACAAACACTAGATTGGATACTGTAGTCTATAATCACAGCAAAGGGAGAGAGGGAAAAAAAAATTCTGAAGCCTAATATGAATATGACTTTAATATCCTCTTTTAGCTTCTTGCCTTCAAGGATGCCTGATAAATTTCAAGAAGCCACTGTTAGTTGTTATGCTGTACCTTGGGATTTAATTTTTGGCCTGTTTTGTTTTTAAACTCTCTCACTCTCCACACCCCCTATTTTGGCCTTTTTCCTATTACTTACTAAACAGTTCAGAGCCAATTGTGTAAATTTTGAGCTGTCTGTCCCTTTAAATGCTGAGAGTATCTGTGCGCATGCATGGCAGAAGAAGCCACCAGTGGTGGGGGTGTCCACTCACTCAAGCCCCCCCTCTAGTCACCAGAATGGAGGTGCACAGACAGTGAAGGGCCAATGAACAGATACCAAAAAAAAAAAATAAACCACCCCACCCATCAGAACAAAACAAAACCAACAAAGTATATTGTCCACCTTTGCTGCAAGGTTCCCACGGCATTTTTCCGTGGCGGGTCTGCTTGCTATCCCGCTTGGTCTTGCTGTTTGTTTTCACCCAAGTTGTTGGCTCCAGGCCACTGAGGCTGGCAGATTCTAAAGTACAAGATTTCTTACTTCTGCTACAAGTTCCACTAGCTATAAGCCTTCAGACTTTTTAAATATTCCTAGATTTGTGGTTCAGAGTTTTGGAGCTCTCCCCTAAACCGGCTTTGCCTGGTATTCTGTAGTATTGCTGATGGTGATCTTCACTACACCTCTACCCTGTCTGCCATCAAGCCCTGCTTCCAAGACCCCATTATTTTGATGAGGAAACTGAGGCTGAGGGTCCATAAAGATTCTCCCTGTTAATCCCTTGGATTTATCATGGAGCCTGAGGATAGAGGGAAGAACGCTCACCAGCTGACAAGGGACAGAGTGGGGTTGGTATTTATTCTCACAGCTCCCCTGAAAACCAGAGGGAAGTTTCAAGACTCCACCTTAAGAGGCAGGACTTTTGTGGCTTCCCCTACCCTACCTAGGAGAGTATAAAAGTTCCTTCCCAGGCTGCTTGCAGAGAAGAGCAGCAGTGGGGGAGGGGGAGAGGGTCCTCTTGAGGAGTCTCTGGGAGAGAAGGATGGGCGTGTCTGTGGTTGGCTCAGCTGTTACAGAGATGAAACTGCTCCTGACCCTGGCAGGGGCTCTAATCACACTTGTCCTCTTGCAACGCTGTAAGGGCGCTGCTCCAGGTAATATAGCTCCTTGGATGGCCAAGAAAGGAGGGTGGGTATGAAGGGGGGGGTGCTTAGGTATAGGAGACCTGTGGTTCTGCTGGACCCTGAGACCCTATGCTCCCTGAACAGCTTCTCCCAGGACAGTGGAGGTCTCAGTGGTACAGGATTGCATCAAAGAAGCCAAGCTGATGGTGAACACAGCCTATAATCAGACCCGGAGAAGGTGGGCCTGGGCCTGGGGGCAGCCTAGTGCCTGGGAGAGGACCCAGGAGGGGATGGGCTCCAGCTAAGGCCATCTGACCACCACCCTGTCCAGGCCCCTGAGGCCTCCACGGTGGAGAGCCTCCCCTTGGTCCAGCCTTCTGTATGTCTACTGCCCTGCCTGTCAACCTCAGGCATCTCCAGCCCCCACCCTCCCTTTTCTCGGCAGCATCCAGCAGTGCCATCAGAGAGGCTTGACCAGCCCCTTTGACCTCCTGTTCTACTTCAAGCAGCCAGCAGCAGCCACCAGGAAAGTGATCCGGGCTGCCGACTACATGCATGTGACCTTGGGGCTGCTGGAGGAGAAGTTGCAACCCCAAGGGCCCCTGCCTTTCAATGTCACTGGTACCATGCTTTCCCACCAAGCCTGCTCCTGACCTAGGAGTACAAGGAAGCCAGGAATGAAAGAGGCATGGGGACAGAACCCTGGAGTGCTGGGAGAAGGAATGGCAGTTTAGGACAGGCCAGCTTAGGAAGGAGTCAAGAGTCCCAGGGATTGTGAAGCGAGGAGCCTGTTCATCTGTCTCATCCCCAGATATGCTCACAGAATCCCGGCTCCGGCTGCTGTCCTGGACCAGTGGCTGTGATCTCCAAGACAATGATGAGAGGTGTAGTGACAAGTACAGAACCATCACTGGGATAAACAACAACAGGTGGGTGGTGCTAGGGGCTACGCCTGACTCCGGATGCCCACCTCCCTCATGCTTCCTTCCTCCTCCATGCTGAGCCAGCCTGGGTCTGAGCCCAGCTAACCTCACCCACCTCTGCTGCAGGAAGCACCCCCAGCTGGGGGCCTCCAACCAGGCCCTGGCTCGGTGGCTGCCAGCTGAATATGAGGATGGGCTGTCACTCCCCTTTGGCTGGATCCCCGGCAAGAGGCGCAATGGCTTCCTTCTCCCTCTTGTAAGTCAGAATGAGGGGTCTAGAGGACGCTTGATCTCTTCTAAATCTGGTCCAGAGTCAGCAGGCAGGACTCAAATGCAAGCCTACCACTGACCAGCTAGTTGGGTGACTCTGGACAAGTAATACAGCTTTCTGAACCTCAGTTTCCTCATTGTAAAATGGCAGCAAGACAGTCCCTACCTCGTACAGCTAGTGTGAAAATTAAGTAAAACACTTGGTACCATCACACAGGTAATGATCAAACCCACTGCCATCAAGTTGGTTGTGACCTGCAGCCATCCTATATAGGGTTTCTGAGACTTTAAATCTTTATGGAAGCATACAGCTTCATGTCTCCTGAGGAGCAGCTTGTGGATTTGAACTGTGGGCTTGACTTTTAGTAGCCCAGCGCCTAACCCACAGCATCACTAAGGCTCCATTGCTGGCCATTATAAGCATCATTTCTCTGAAAGAATTGGTATCAAAGTATCATGCTAAATATAAAGAGCTATATCTATACCTTATCTATATATCTATGGATCTATTTAACATCTATTGTGTCATCTAGTTATTGATGTTACTGTAATAAATGATCTTCTACCCATCAACATTTATTAATCTTCTTCCATTAGTCTCTCTATCCAATTTTCTATATATTTACCATCTGTCACCTATCACTCATTCCATGTATTTATCAATTCATTCTATCCTGGTTAGACTGGTCTATAAATTGATGTGTCAATTCGCTCTGAAATAGCTGGTGGGATCCCACTCAGCTTTACCTTCTTTGTTAGCTGGCAAGTCATCTATGAAAGTGACCACATTCTCCAGAGACAGAGGGGCAGGGGAGGACGTGGGGATGGAGCCACAGGCTTCCTATCAGGAGGGTATGTTACTGCTTAGGCTACTGCTGATCACCTCCCTTCTACAGTGAAAGTGAAGTGGTCCTGGGCCTCCCATCAGGAATGAGAGGACTTCTAAAGGGAGAACAAGGACAGGCTGTTGACAGACTAGTTGGTAGCAGACTTGGAATGAGTCTTCCTTCTCTTCCTTTCTCCACCTTCCCCTCCTGGTTCTAGCGCCCTTCATGTCCACCCAAGCCTGTTTCCTGATCACATAGCCTATAAGCAACTGGCTTGATAAGCTCAAAGCCAGCTAAGGCATCATGGGATGATGACCCAATGGACTTCCCAGAGGCTGGCCTAATCTATCCTGCTCAGAATCCTGCCAACAGGTGGCATCGACCCCATCCTACAAGGCCTTATGGCCACTCCTGCTAAGCTAAACCATCAAGATTCAATGATGGTGGATGAAGTCCGGGAGTGGCTATTTCGGCAAGTAAAAAAGAGTGGGCTGGATCTGGCTGTCTCAACATGCAACGCAGTCGAGACCATGGCCTCCCAGGTGAGGGAGCCCTTGACCCATTTCCTTTCTGTCCTGGACTGTACAGGGAACACCTGTTTGTTTGCTGTCCTGCCAGTCTTCCCCATCCACTGTAGGGTACCTAACCTTCACTCCACCACAGACCAGGATAGGGGCACAGGAGCTGACAGAATCAATCAGGACTTTCCAAGTAGAAAACAACAACAGTGAACCACAGTAGATTGGAGAGACTGGGAAGAACTGCTCTACTCCCTACCACATGACAAGTTTCAAGGAGGCGGGCTCAGATTCCAGAGCTACAGAAATTGGCTCCTTGCTCTAAGGGAAGAAAAGCAAAGCCTTAGAGACAAGGAACAGGCAGAGTAAAATGAAGACCGCATCGACTGCTTGGGTGATGACACAATAGGTCCAGGAAAGAAGAAAATTACACTTTTAATTTACATACCAGGCACTTGGCTTGATACTTTCATGAATACTAATTTACTTAGTCCTCCCAGCAATCTTAAGAAGCAGCTATTACACTTCTTTTTATAATGAGAATATAAGCTCAAAGATATTTAGTGATTTACCCAAGGTCACATAACTACAAAATAGTAATATTTCAATTTCAATTCAAATTTTCTGCTTTCTACCCCTGTTCAGCATATTGCAGAGGAAGGCTTTGGAAGCTGCCTTGCTGGTCTCTCTCCCCACCTCCTACATCCCTGTCTAGATCAAAATGAAGCCCCATCTACTTCCGCCGATCTTTGGACTTGTATAAAGGAGTGGGGGCAGTTCCTATTGCAGACACACAGCAGGAAAGCGATTAATCTAAACTTCTTATTTGCTTCAGTTGGGTGCTGCTCCTCAGGAGCTGTCGGCGCCCCCTGGTGGCTAACTGAGATTGCTCCCCTTCCAAATTGCAAAACAGTTGTTTTCTGCTTCCCCCAATATTTATTTACTTCTTCCAAGCTGTTCTGGTGTGGCATTGTAGGATAAGCACTGGACTGTAAGGTCAGTGGTTCAAATCCACCAGCTGTTCCTTGGAAACCTTATACAGGGTTGCTATGAATCAGAACTGACGCGACAGCATTTTAACAACATGACGCTATTCTAGAAATATTACCATGATACTGCTCTTTACAGTGCTATAGGATAAGCAGTTGACCCTTTTGGTCAAGTTTGGACCACAAGGTTAAGTAGTCCAAACGCACCAGCAGCTCCTTGGAAGCCCTATACAGGGTCACTGTGGGTCAGAACCAACAACGGCGCTAAACAACTCCTCTTTCAGTCTCCTCCAATCCCTTCTGGTTTGACTTTCATTTAGTAGTGGACTGACCTGGGCAAAGTCATAGTTGCTCAGCCTCTGAAAATACCCATTAATAAAATGGGGATCATAAAGTACCTCCCTATGTTGTGAGGCTCCTGAGAGAGATGCATCCAGCAGTAAAAACAAAACAATCAAACAAAAGCAAACAGCTTTATGGGGATATTCTAAAATCTGCCTATATCTAAAATATACAATCCAATGGTTTTAGTCTATTTGGAGAGTTGTACAAGAATCAGCATAATCTAATACCAAAATAATCACCCCTAAAGAAATCTCATGGAGTCTTGGTGTGGTGCTGTGGGTTAATGCACCAGACTGCAAAGCTGTTTGAACTGCAAGAGCGGTGGTTCAAGCCCACCAGCTGCTCCTCAAAAACCCTATACAGGGTCACTATGGGTTGGAACCAACTCGACGGCACTTCACAACAACAACAACAAAATCTCATAATAAGTCACTCAGCATCGCCACCCCAGTCCTTGTAAAGTGCTATCAAGTCGGTTCTGACTCACAGTGACCTGTATAGAGTTTCAATCTTTGAGGGAACAGAAAGCCTCATCTGTCTCCTGAGGAATGGCTAGTGGGCTCTAACTGCGGCCCTTGTGGTTCGCAGTCCAGTGCTTATCATGGTGGTGGTGTTGGTAGAGTGCCATGGAGTCGGTTCAGACTCATAGTGACCCTGTATAGGGTTTCTGAGGCTGTATATCTTTACGGGAGCAGAAAGCCTCATCTTTCTCCCACAGAACAGCTGGTAGTTTCGAACTGCTGACCTTGAGGTTAGCAGCCCAATACATAACCACTGCGCTACTAATTTGTTTTCTGTATTTACGTATTTGACTATTCTGGACCTTTCATATAAATGGAATCATTCAGTCTGTGGTCCTTTTCTGAGGAGATGAACTTTATCCCCAGGTTCATTTGTTGTTCAATGATTTAATCATTCTACAAGCCTCGACTGAGTACTGGCTACCGTCTTTTTGTACCTAATTAGCCAAATTAACGCACATGAGCCCAATAACACTATCATTAAATATTAGATATGTGGTTCCAAGTGTTAGGCCACAACAGCTATTTATACTAGGATACACTCCTCAGTTTGATGCACACAGACTATGGTTACACATTTAGAATTAGACAACAATTTGCTCTTTGGAAGGTTCAGGGCCTCTTCTACCACCAGATGTTGTTTTGTTCCTGCTCAATACTGGCTGACCACTGAGTCTTGGCTCAGAACTTGCAGAGAAGTAGAAGCTAAGGAATGAGACTAAATGGCTTCTCCCACTCTCCCTCCCCTTTCAGGATACAATGCATGGAGGCGCTTCTGTGGGCTCTCTCAGCCTCAGAACTTGGCACAACTTAGCCAGGTGCTGAGAAACCAGAATTTAGCCCAGAAGTTCCTGAGTCTGTATGGGACACCAAACAACATTGATATCTGGGTCGGGGCCATTGCAGAGCCTTTCTTGCCAGGTGCCCGAGTGGGGCCTCTTCTAGCCTGTCTGTTTGAGAACCAGTTTAGAAGAATCCGAAGTGGAAACAGGTAAGCACGTGGCCCTACTCTACGAGAGATTAGTACTAGGGAAGTACGACAAGGCACTGAAATGGGGAAATGATACTCTTTTCAGCTTCATTTCTTCCAAGTTCCTAGGGCCTATGAACAGGAGGCTCCCTGAAAAGTTCCATCAGAGGAGGGATGCCACTGACCCAGGCAAGCCTGAAAATAATGAGCCATGTCACTGTTAATCCAGGAGCTAGGAGGGCAGCCTACCTAGTCTAAGCAAGCAGATGCCAGAAAACCTGGACCAAAAGGATGAAATCTGGTATCCCTTCAATAAATTTGTGATTTAATATCTATTAACTTACTTCTTGGCACTACCTGGTATGGTGGTGTAGGATAAGCACTGAACTGCTAACCAGGTGGGTGGTTCAAAAGCACCAGCCCCTAATTGGAAACCCTATACAGGGTCGCTCTGAGCAGAAGAAACCAGCATGACGGTACGTAAGCACCACCTACACCTTAGTTAATGAGACGGCGCAGGGTCAGGCAGTGTTTCATTCAGTTGCACATAGGGTCACTGTATCTGACCACCAGAGAGGTCACTTTAATGCTGTGCATTTATACTACGTAACGTACTTCATCAATGAGTCTGTTTCTTCATTTGTAAGATGGGAATAATACTGATTTTGCAGAAATTTTTTAAGAATTGAATGAAATAATGTAGTGGATGTGACACACAACAGCACTTATTGTAAGTTAATTTCTCTCCAACCTTCACCCATGTCTCCTAAATGTCTTGGCAGGTTCTGGTGGGAGAAAAGGGGTGTTTTCACCAAGAGGCCCTGAGAAAGTTTTCCTCGTCTCGAATTGTGTGTGACAATACTGGTATCACTACCGTTTCAAGACGTATCTTCAGGGCCAACACCTACCCCCAGGGCTTTGTGAACTGCAGCTGCATTCCCAGGTTGACCCTCTCAGCCTGGCAAGGCCACTGAAGCCTGTGCAGGTAAAAGGAAGCACTCTATCTGCCCTGGGCTAGGTCAGGCTCTGGCATCCTTCCTGGGGCAGGACAGCTGAGACCTCATAGGCCTCGAAGTAGATGCAGCAGGATCGGGCACTAGGTAGTCTTTTCTGGTGGCTTCCCAGCATGCTAAGTTCTGGAGCTTAGGACTCTGGGGGAACGATCAGGAAGTGTCCAGCTCGCTTCAGCATGGTCACCGTCACATGAAAGCAGCACCATTTCAGGGCTCAGAAGTTTCCTCACTTACCCAGTTCTGCTTTGTCTCCCCAGGAGTCCACCCGAAGGCTGCAATCCCTGGAGACAAGGGTCTGGGAAGACCACAAGGCTACGTCTTGCCCTTGGAGCCTCCATCTTGCCCTTGGAGCCTCCGTGGCTGATGCTTCCGCTCACTATGGAGTCGAGCTCTCTGGTAGGGAGCAACAGCTGAGCTCCTAGGAGCGATGGCCCCACTGCCTCGGAAACCTCGTACGTGTTAGGGCCTCAATCTGTTCCAGGTGCAAGGCCTTGAGACCCAGGCCAGAAAAGTTTGCTACAGGTTTGCAGTTACTTTCTGCTATATCCCAGCTGTGCTCCAGTGGCTGTGAGATACCCCACAATCCTTCTCCTGAGCCCGCATGCTGGAGAACTTTCTGCCCCCACCAATAAAGCACTGCCAGAAAGCTGGGGTGTCCCCGTTTCTGTTGTGCTGGGGAGGCTGGCTGAGGTTAGCTGGCACTAATCTCTAAGCCTCTCCATGGGGCAGAATCCAGAAAGCAGAAATATTCTAGGACAAGGCACAGAAGGGAAATGGCCAAAGGAGCTGGTGCCCTGACATCAAGGAAAATACCTCAACCATGTCAGCAGGCTGAGCCAAGAGGCAGTCAAGAGAACATCAAACAGTATTAAACCATTGTTTAATGTATACAAAATGCAATTAAAACATCACCCAGCTAGCAGAGACAACTGGGTGTTTCCTTCAGCTTCACTTATTCCAGAAAGATGTATCTTAAACTCAACAAACCCCAAGCTGGAGATCAGCTACTCTGAGCCTCACCTTTCTCTTCTTACTTGGGCTCCGGGTCACAGAAGCGTGCAGAGCAAGAAGGATCTGCCTCCACTGCTGGGACTGTGAGACGAGCAGGAAGTTTGTGTTGGGGGCAGAGTAGCTATGGGGTCACACCACACTAGTTTCTGCCACAAAGCCTGCCTTGCTGTGACGCCCATTTACAGGAGGTGAACTAGGGAGAGGAGGGGGCCACATGGGGGCCACAGGCTTATTTCCACATGGCAGGGAGAAGAGTCTGCTGAGGGCTCAGCGGAGAGCTGGCCTGGGAATTTCTCAGTTCTTCTGGTTCTCAGCAGGTAAAAGTGGTCTCTAGGAAGAAAGAGGCGTCCTGGCTTGGCGCTATAGGATTAGCACTGGACTGCTAACAACAAAGTCAGTGGTTCAAATCCACCAGTTGCTCCTTGGAGACCCCATACAGGGTCGCTGAGTTGGAACCCACTTGATGGCACTCAGTAACAACAGGAAGAATGATGAAGAGGCTGGCAAGCACTAGTTTCTCCCTCTTCCCTGAGATCCAAAGTTGCAGGGAGCTAGGAGACTGTAGTTCCAGAGGGGCTCACTAGGTCCTGGGGAAGGCTTTCACGGGCCTCCTGCATGCGGCGCCGAGCTCGATGGAAAGCCTCTGCAAGGGAAGCAGCAGCCGTTATAAGCAGTCGCGGTGGGCCAGGAACACAGCAGTGCTGACCCTGGTGGCCAGCTGGGGGGACAGGGAACCTACCCAGCACATTGTGAATGGAACTCTGCTGGCTGAATCCTTCCAGGCGGTCCAGCACGCTCTGCATCCTTTTCCGGAGGGAACTTGATTCCATGAAGGCCCTGCAGGCGGCCACCACAGGGTCATGGCTGCTCCCAGCCCTTAAGGATAAGGTGCAGTCTGCAGGGTAGCGGGTCAGGGCCACTCACCTAGACTGCTGCAGACAGTGGAAGCGGAAGGTGACACTACCGGTGGTCTCCGTGCGGAACCCGAAGCGGCTCAGACGCTCCCCCTGCGGGAAGAGTGGGGACAGCATCCAGTTTCCATGGTCTTGGCCTTAGGCACCATGTAAACTCTTATTCCCATTCTGCAAGTTCTGCAGGGGAAAACTCATTCCATCACCCAGTCCCCATCAGGGCTAAAATTTGGCTCCTGACTCTAGTCATCTGAGTAGTCTTACACTGCTTCCTGCCTGTCCTCCCCATTTCTTTTCTATATATATACACATATATATTAAGGTTTTTATTGTGGATTGAGTGAAAGTTTACAGGACAGAGCATCAGTTTTACATTCAACATATCGTACACCTTGTTTAATTACAATGATTATAATCCCCTCCATATACCATCAGTTAACAATATTTCTCTCTAGTCTCTTGTGCTGTTTTTTTTAAGTTTTTATTGTGAATTATGTGGGTTTACATGGGAGAATATCAGTTTTACATTCATCCTATCATATTTCATTTCATTGCAATGATTACAATCCCCTCTATGCATCATCAAATAACCAAAGGATACACCCCACAGGCCCACGCCCACCCCTGGCTGTCAGCACACGGCCCCTCTTCTTCCCTGAGTCCAGTGTTTCCAGCCACTCCATCTGTCCATGTCATCGTCTCTGTCTCCATCCCTGGCATCATTGCCTCTCTGGGTAGGGTCATGCTCTCCGCTCTTCTCACTTGATAGTCCCAGGGACCTCCGCTCCTGGGTTGCAAAATCTATCACTCCCCTCCTTTTGTCAAAAAACATCTACCTCTATATTTCCAACCCTTGTAGTCAGTCCTGATGGCAATTATTCACTGTTGTATCACAAGAGTCTTATCCCCATTTCCATTCGCCAGCCCGGTCCCAAAAGATTAGAAATCATTCAGTGGAGGTTCTGCCTACTTCTGCCCCATCTGGAACTAGGCTCCCTCTTGAAAGCTTGTAAGCCAGTCACTTCTTGCCTTTATAGCCACCCCCACCCCCATTTTGGGTAGCCAATGTCTAAGTTGCCCATCCTTATTAACCCTGTGTACTGAGGGGGTGGGAGTGATCCTTGCTGTAAAGATTTGTTCCTTTTTTTGAGCTACTACATCCATATATAAGTATAGATAAAGTTCATCAAATTATAGTGGGTTACTTTTTCTCCCCCACCCCTTCTTTCTTCTTCTAGTCGTGTTCTGTTCAACCAGCGATCGAAGCCAGTTCAAGTGGGTACTATCTGCAAGTATGCGTGTTCTTGTGCATCTTCCCTCACTTCATATCAGCTGGATGCGTCACTCTTCGCTCTAGTACTCTGTGGCCATGTCACTGCCTCTGGGCCCAGGGGTCCACTGGTCTTGCCATACTGCTGGCCATCCAGGTCTCCACCTGGGTTCACAGGAGTCTATTGAATGTGGTCGGACTTAGATTCCAACTTCATTGCTGTTTTTTTCCCCCTCTTCCCCTTATCGGTGACCAACGTGGTCACCAGCCAGACCACAAGCCTGCTCCTGTATTTCCCTTGAGTCTTAGTCTTGGAAAGGAGTTTGCTCTGAGGGGACCCAACCACTTGCCTTGATGGTTCCTGGGCAAACAGCTTACTTGTTCTTTTAGTAATCAATCAGACTGCCATTATTGTTTTGGATTTTTCCTGCTGGTCTTTCTTCACAAAGTATCTTCTGTTCTTCTAGCTGCTCCAGGCTGGTCTACTCATCCTTTCCGGTAGAAATTTCCCACCTCAGACAATTCTGGATGGGATTCTGGTTTCCACTTATGATCTTACGCAATGCAAAAGCTCCACAGGAGGTCTCTTTCACTGGGCAACTTCTAGCCCCCTTTAAGGTATTCCAATCAGTTATAGGCTGAAGATAGACTTATAAGCTTTCTATTGTGATGTTTCTGGGTATTCCTTTTTCCCCCACTCAAGTGTCTATTTCACAATGGTAGGCAAGGGAAGCCAAGATTCAAAAGACAGCCAAGCATCTTAACATTATTCCCCTCTTTTACCCATTCAAACCATGCCCAAAGCCCTGTTGTTCCAAGGTTGTGCATACATCATCATTTACCTCTGTCCCACTTAGCCCATGTGAACCTGCCTAACTGTTCTCCCATCTGCCTTGTTCTTCCATTCCCCTCCCCCCCTTCTTGTGTATTCCTATCTATTCCCTACCCTGTGCTCTATCTTTCCGTCCCTCCTCCCCTCCTCTTATCCCATATATCCTGGTGATCAACAATTACATACATAATTTTTTTTCGCCATTTGGGTGGGTTCTTTTTCTTAGTCTCTTACTATAATGGTCCTATGCAGTATTTCTCCTTTTGTGACTGACTAATTTCACTCAGCATAATGTCCTCAAGGTTCATCCATGTTATG